GGTGGGGGCACGGTCGCGCCTTGCAGAGCGGGAGGAGGCACCGGAGCATCTTGGGGTGCGCCTTGCAGAGCAGGAGGAGGCGCCGGAGCATCTTGGGGTGCGCCTTGAAGAGCAGGAGCAGACGCCGGAAGGGTGGCTGCAGCAGGGGGAGGCGCTTGGCGTGGCACGGCTGCAGCTGCAGCAGGAGGAGGCGCTTGGCGTGGCACGGCTGCAGCAGTGATGGCATGAGCAAGAATAGGTGCTTGCGCCTGTGGAGGAGGTGCAGCAGCTTGACCTTGCATTGCCAAGGCGACAAAGCCCCCAATGTTGTCAAGGATTTCTTGGAGCGAATTGGTCCCCACATTGACATTTCCTTGATTGCTTCTCATTGTATCCAGGACTTGGTTTCCATCCTGCAGCTGCAATGCACACGCACTTCAGTTCAGTTAGCGATGGATCCATGTTTCGGTTTCACACAGGGAGGACAGGACAGGAGCACTGGAGCAGTTAGTTAATTTGCAACATGATCGGATCGACTCACTTACCTTTCGGGCGCTTGTGACTGAAATGCAGCAATAGATATATATATATATATATGAGACATCTCATACGGAGCAATTGACATGCATATGCATGGTAGATGCAATCATAGGTTACGAGTGTAATGTACGTGTACATACCCAATGACATCTGGCAGATAAAGCCGCATATAATCGTTGATGAGCTTCATCATAAGCTCCGTCCCACAGTGGGCATGAGCGAAACTGGATTTAGATGCATGTATAGACAGACAGAAGAGCACACATGTCTTAGTTATCTCACATGCATGCTACTCTACAACATAAGAGTGCTGAATCTGCATGCATTGCTAGCTGGGTGAAGAAGAAAGCAAAGAAACAACTTTGTATATACCTGGTCCTCGATCCCACACTTGTCTCAATCTTCGCTATCTCCTCGGACAGCTTACCAGCATCAGCATAGGCGGTAACAATAGCTTTGAGCGGCACAACCTTCTCAACAAAGATCCGCGCTGAGTCCTCGTACCTCCCTCCATTAATTAGATCCATCAGCTGTAGACCAAATCAGTAGGAATAAATTTGAGAGAAAGAAAATAAGTAGGTAATCTGTTGTATGTATGTGTGTGTGGCTCAAAGCGGTACCTGACGCCTCCATATGGTAATGAAGGGCATAGGATGAATCAGAAATGGGTGGGCATTGTCCTGAGATCTTGGCATCGCATTGGCGATGTGTTGCTCCAGCAGGTTCCACTGATTCGTTTGGATGAAGTTATTAACTTGAGCCACATTATACACCCCATGAGCAAACATCCTACACATATTTGCAAAAAAGAAAAGAATGGTGAGTTCTAGTGTCAGTTTGCACATACATTAATTAGCATCAAAGTGAGGTACACACAAACAAGATGGGGTCTTCTCTGTTGGGCTGGCTGGCAAGCTATGGTGATGGTCGTCATATCATAGATTGAAAGTGTAAGATTATTTTTTGCATCCTAGCAGGCCCAATTGTGGCTGCCTAGTCTACAATTGCTCAAACTGTGATGTGATTTCAACGAGCCAATGGATTCAGCATTGCTGATTGAATCTATGAATGGTAATGCATGCTAGTCAATTGCAGCATACAGTATATATATAAAGAAATAGGGAGATAACACCGCTGCCGCTAGCTAGCTTGTATAGCAATGTGGGCAGAGCCGATCGAGGTTACATGCATGAGCATTGAGCAGTGTACCAATGCATCTACGGAGAATCAGTTTCATCCACTTAAACAACCAGAGCATGATCCCCTTGAGGACGGCACAAAACATAGGAGACAAAAAAAGAGCCAGCTTTGGAGACTCACTGGTGCTGCTGCTGGTTAGGATCGGCCAACATCTCCTCCCCCTCACCATCATAATCAACGGGAAGCACCGCTGGGTCCATCAAGCTGCAGCCAGGCAAGGGAGCAAAAGGAACCATGCATCAGCAAAGATCCATGTACGGAGAACCAACCAATTCATCAAACTGACAAACCAGAGCATGATCTACCAGAACCAGAGCAGAGCATGAGCTAAGGACAGAGCATGTTGACGCACGCGCAATCAAGCGCCCTCTTGGGATCAAACCATACATCATAACTAGATTCGGGGCTTTACAACTTACGGTTGCTCAGCAAGGATGTCTTCCTCGTTGTAGTCGACCAGAAAGTTGTTGGGATCAAACCTGCAGACAAACAGAAACGAGTAGAGCAAGACCGATCAGGAAAGAGGGAGGAGGAGGAGATATGTTGGTGAGCAAAACCAGAACTGAAACACCGCCGGCCGGATCCATCAAGCTGTAGCGAGGGAGCAAAGGAAGCTCGGTCGGCGGCCCGTGCGCGTGGCAAGGGGCCCTCCATCCCGCCGCCGCGCCACCCTAGGGGACGCTTCGGGTGGCCCCCAGGGCCCTCGGTGTGAGTGTGACGGCGAGCGCGGACGCCATGCATGCTCGACCGGAATCAATCGGAGCAAGAGGGGGGCTGAGAGAGACCCTCCTAGACACGCAGATTTGGCTCCGGCGGTACAGAGCAGTGTGCGGGAGTCATCATAACTTAAAAAGGAGGTACCTTTCGTCAACTGGATGGTCGTCTTCCTCGTCGCCGCCGCCGCCTCCGACTCCGACTCCATGCGCGGGCGCGGGCAGATCCATGACG